ATTTAGGGCTCACCCAGAAATCCAGGATGATCTCACTTCAAGATCCTTAACTGAATTACATCTGCAAAGATTCTTTTTCCAAATAAGGTCACATTCTGGGGATTAGAACTCAGCTATATCTTTTCTGGGGGGCTTATTCAATCCCCTACAGTGGGAGATGCAGGTGAGGCTCCTGTCTGAGACAGGGCAGGGAAAGCAGGGAGGGGAGGAGGCTGAGAGTTCTGGACCCACAGGCCTCCGGTGCCTGGGCCTTGCCTATGGCACGCTTCTCATCTATCTGCAAAGAACGGTCCTTCAGGGAAATGAGAGTGTGCCAGCTGGCTCGCTGGGAGGTGGGGCCTGAGTGAGTGGGCCAGGAAAGAGCCCGCTGACAGGTAGGGCCCATCCCGGCTTTGATTCATTGACTGTCTGAGCAGGAGCTGGACCGATCCGCTAGGAATTACAAAAATGCTTCGCACATATTTTCCTCTCACTGGTGGTTTTCTGCTCGGTTTAACCCCTGCTGGGCCCCTGATCCCATTGCTTGTCTGTGTCTGCGGCTATGGCTCTCTCTGCATCTCACCCACCCCCTAGCTCCAGACACTCTCTCTTCACATCCCCTCCCCTCTCCCCCAGTCATTGACTCTTGGCTGGAGTGGGCAGGGCTTGACCACGTCCTCATAATTGAAATTTTTGGCTTCCAAAGCAGGGTGGTGCTTCCCCAAGTCAAAGGGACAGATTCAGGCTGAGGCCTCTGCTAGGGCAGGAGGAAGCTTGAGAAATGTCCTGGATGCCAAAGCCAATGACCAGGAAAAGACTTTTGCCTGGGTCCCAGAGGACCCAAGTGGCCTTGTAATGAAGCAGACTTAAGGCAACTGATCCCCAATTTCCTGCCCCAGTCATGCTGCCTTCCTTCCTGCCCCTGCCTCATGGCATTCGCAGACTCTTCCCAGAGGGAGGAAGTCCTTCATCAATAAAAAGTGCTTTAAACTACTGGAGTCAAGGCAGAAGCTTCTGAGGCATACTCAGTCCCTGTTCCACCTTCAAAAGTCCACCCTTCGTCAGGCTAAAGCCCCAGTTTGTGCCTGTATCCTCCTGGCCCTTGTAGGACCCCTTTCATTGGACTGTGTCTTAGTCCATTTCAGTTGCTGTAACAGAATATCACAGACTGGGTAATTTAAAGAAAAGAAGTTTATTTCACTCATGGTTCTGGAGGCTGGGAAGTGCAAAAACATGGCACCAGCATCTGGTGGGGAACTTTTTGCTGTGTCATGACGTGGCAGAAGACGTCACATGGTGAGAGCTGGTGTGTACATTAGGTCAGGCCTTTCTTCCTCTTCTTCTAGCCACCAGTCCCCATGATGAGGGCCCCCCACTGACGATCTTACCTAATCCCAATTACCTCCCAAAGGATCCACCACCAATCAACACATGGATTTGGGGATTAGGTTTCCAACACATGAAATTTGCTGGACACATTCAAATCATAGCAAGCTTCATTGGATGTCGGGCACCAGCTTTGGCAAAGATGGCTGCAGAAACAGCCCTCCAAAAATCCACATGCCTGTGCAGAAGGCTGTGGCTGGAGGAGAGGGAATCACATCACCCCTGTCCCCCCAGGAGTCTCTAGGGAGAAATTCCCTTTCGAAACCAGTCCCAGGACAGGCTCTGCTTTCCCTGAGACTCCTCTTTTTTGATTATGAGAATCACATAACAAGATCACATTTCCATTTTTCTTTCGGCTGCCAGGAATCTCAGAGCCAACTTTGAAGCTCAGCCATGGCAATTATGTGGCCCCTTGTGATCTGGAACATTTATTTTCTTTCTTTCTGTGGTCTTAGTTTTCAAACTCTGTTTATATCCTCGCTCATCCTGATTCTCTATTTTATCAGCATTTTCATTAGGTACCTTCTGCTATAAGCTGCTTTACATGCTGTTTGGAATAAAGAGGACTGTAAATAGGGAAATAAATACATCGTGGTTCCATTATGATGTTAATATTTATTGCTGAAAATGTGATTGTTTAGCAAAATAAATGAATTCCCATCCTGCATTGTCTTTGACTTTCGAATAGAGGTTACCCGGGAGACTCTCTTTCTTCTGCTAGTAACCCTTGAGCTCCTGTAGATCTAACGCCTGGTGCACAGAGGGCCTTGCCAGTCTTGACCAGGTGAGTGGATGGTATTGACCATAAAGATGAGAAAACATCAACAGCATCTCTCACAAGCTGAGTGATGTCAGGGAACCCTCTGCCTCCCTGGGCCTCAGTTTCCTTATGTGAAATAGAGGGAGTCACCCAGCCACAGCCTCACTGAGTGGTTGGGAGGATCTCGTGATGGGTGAGAAGATGCTTTGTGAACTGTAAGATGTAGGGCCTCGTAGAGCCCATGGGCTTATGTATCCTGTGGGTAGCTGTTGGCAGTTGTGCTCTTGGGATTGGAGGAAGGGTGGTGCCATGTCCTGCTGAACTCCTGAGAGACGGCTGGGCAAGAGGGCTGCCCCGCTGGCTCTACCACATGCCTGGGGTCAAGGGGCCTCTCTCTCAAAGCATCCTCTGGGCCCGAGACTCAAGTTACCGTGAGGGGATCAGACAGCTACTAGGACATTTGTCTGCCAGGCTCGGCCCCTCCCCATCCCCCTGGCCCCGACCTTGAACTCAGGGCTGTCAGAATCCTCCTTCCCACATTCACTGGGAGAGAGTGGCCCCTTCCCCTGCAACGAGGGCACCAGGTGTCTGAGACGCATTCTGCTTGGACCATCTCCACCCTTGAAGGAGCAGAATTCACGAGGCATTTCTATTTCCCTACTTGCAATTCCTTCGGACAACCTTGTGAAGTAGATAAGATGGCATTCGTCACTGATGATTCTTGCAATTTTCAAGATAAGACAGCTGAGCTCACTAAAAGGGTCACAGGACTGCATCGGGGAGCACCAGGCCCAGGATCCCGGCTGGCCTCAGGGGCAGGGCCTTCCCAGCAAAGCAAACACCTCCCTTCTCCCACTTTTTCCCACAAAGTGATTGTTTTTGCCTCTCTTTTGGAGGGTGACCCAATAACCAATTAACAGTCCTTTGTTCTATTTGGCCAGGGCAGGGCCATCTCCCAGACTGAGAGAGGCAAGGAGTACCCCCAGGCCCTGGCCCCCGCAGCCAGCCACCCAGGGCATTGCTGTCATTCTCCACCTTTCTGTGCTTTGCCATTGGTTTTGTTTTCCTCTAGTTTCCTAGTAAAGGTTGCTTTTGAAAATCTTCAACCTTGTCTCCCTGAGCAGACGGGAGGGGTGTTTCCACCCCTGGGCGGCGGGGGAGGACGTTGCGGGGTGTGGCCCAGGGCCTGAGCCAGCCTCCGAGAGACTGGGCGGGAGACTTCAGGGGAAGACTCAAAAACAGCTGTGGGCCTGCCGGCCTCTCCCTCCCAAGCTGCTGCCTTCCCGGCCCTTGGCCATTTGCACTTGGCGTGGGGGACTCATGAGGAATGAGAGATGAAAGCACAGGGTGGCCTTTCTCTGACTTTAATGTGCACACAAGTCTCCTGGGATCTTGTTGATGTGCACATTCTGATTCTGCAGGTCTGGGGGTGAGGCCAAGATTCCGCACTGCTAATCAGCTTCCAGGTGAGGTGAAGATTGCGCCATGTTGTTGAATGCAGTCCCTTCACAGCACAGATAGCAGAGGGGACCATAGCCCGAGCCCCCTGCTGCCTCCCAGAGCGAGGCTCTCCCCAGCGTGGCCTCACCGCCCTCTATGTGCCTCATCCATCACATACATCCTCATTTGTCCCTCCCAGCCTGTGAGCTTTTAGAAGGTATTGCAACCCGGCACAGGAGCTGGCACTTATAAATATTCAAGCAAGTAGGTGACTCTCAGAAACATCGCCCAGACCCCCGAAATAAATCTCGGCTCGGGGGGAGCCCCAGACCCAAACCCCAAAGAGCAGGGAGACATTTGGGGCCGCTCCAGAGTCTCAGTGTCTGTGGCTTCCCAGTTCTGACCTTGAATTCCCCCGGGAAGGGATTGCAGAGGCCTGGGAAGAAGGTTGCAGTGGAAGGGGATTCAGTTCCCAAATGGGCAGCGGGAAGAGGGACAGAATCAGGGCGGGCAGAGTCCTCCTTGGTTCTGGCCCCAGTGTCCCGTGTGATTCTGAGTGGGACCACCTGTCTCCTCCCGCTCTGGGGCCATTCGAGTTGTCCTGTTATGTCCCTCTGAAAGGTCAACGGGTCATTCCTGGGCAACAGAGACTTTGGCAGCTGGTATCTTCCAGGTCCTTGAAGTCTCATGTAGGGGAAAAATCATGCGATCTGGAGGTGAAGGAGCGGCCCTAACTGGCCCTAAACACTTCGGGTGCCCCTGGGCACGTGGTTTCATGGCTCTGAGCCTCGATTTCCTCCTCTGGTATGTGGGGACGGCAACTCCTGGGGATCCTATGAGATTAAGCGAGGAGTTGGGGGGAACGAGCTGAGATATCACATGGCACCCCCTTTACTTCTTCTTCTTCTTCTTTTTTTTTTTTTTTGAGACAGGGTCTTCCTCTGTCACCCAGGCTGCAGTGCGGTGGCGCAATCATGGCTCATTGCAGCCTCAACCTCCTGAGATCAAGGGATCCTCCCACCTCAGCACCCCGAGTAGCTGGGACCACAGACGCACACCACAGCATCTGGCTAATGTTTATATATTTTGTAGACAGGGTTTCACCATGTTGGCCAGGCTGATCTCGAACTCCTGGGCTCAAACGATCCACCTGCCTCAGACTCCCAAAGTACTGGGATTACAGGAGTGACCCATTGCGGCCGGCACCCCTTTTACCTCGGAACAATCCATCTCTTTCCTTGGGGGCCCCCCATGATCTAGACACCACCCACCTTGTTCTGCCTTGGCCAAAATACCACCTAACTGCCCCCACCCATGCCGGGTGCCCCTCCCCCACCCTCCTCTGCCCTTCGCTGAGTCCCACTTGGCTGGTGCCCAGGACAGTGATAGTCCCAACCCTTCCAGCCCATCTCCCCACATCAGTACACTCCAGAGAGCCAACCAAGAGTAGATTCTTTATTCATTTATCTTTTTTCTTAAAAAAAAAAGTATTCATTTGGTATAAAAAATAAATATTTTAAATATGACATTGAATAAATAAAAATAATCTGTCAGTATGAAACATCCCCACAGGGTACATTCATCAAAGAGGAATTTGTCACCCAAGGCCAAGTGCTTTACAGTGGAAAGGAAGGAGGGAAACCTCTAAGGCCGCACGGTGGGCCCACGGAGCTAGCACGTGGGCGAGACTGAAGGCTGGATGCCGGGACTGGGGTGAGGAACTAGAGATGATTCTAAGGCAGGAACATCTGTACCATCTGCAGGGAAACGCTACCTCCCCGGGTGCCAGAGCTCCAACCCCACACACTATGTCTACTCTGGAGAGCCGTCAAGGCAGAGCTGGACTGGCTGGGTCAGGGTGGAAGTGCCCCAAGTCAGGGACAAGGAGGACAATGGGGACGATGGGGAGGAGAGACAAGTAAACTAGCAGTGCTTTTTAAAAAAATGTTTAAATAATAAATAAGGGCCCAGAGCTGGAGACGTCTCTCTTGGTAAACTACAAAATGACTGTCCCTCTCTCTTCCTCTGGCCAGGCCCAGGTGTGATCCGCACCAGCAGATAAAAAGGGAAGAGGAACTCAGCTCCTGGTCCGGCAGAGCTGTTTCACGCAAAGGCTCCGTGATTCAGTGATGCTGTGCAGAGTGGACGCCGAGCTGCCAGATGGGATCTGGAGGGAGCACTGAGGATGGGTACCATGGGTCCGAGTCCAGGCTGGGCAGGAGAGTGACTCAGAGCCAGGGCCACCAGGGCCGCCAGGTGGTCTCGGCACAGAGCACACAAGTCCACAGGGAGATGAGGTGATGGGCGAGTCAGCCGGGCGCACCGGGTGGAATCAGCAACTCTGGTTTCCAGGCAAATTTGTCTTTCTTGAAGTCCATCTTGGGGGAGTGCAGCCTGCCCCAAGCTAAGCCAGATGGAGCAGGAAGGGGAAGGCGGCCCCTGCATCCTAGACAAGGGTGAGTGTGGCCAAACTCTCAACAGCCACATCCTCATCTTGCCGTTGGGACAGACAGATGGACAACTCCCGGCCGCACCCTCCGCCCCAACCCCAGGCCTCAGGACCTGCCTGCACGCTGCCCATGCGCCATCCAGGTAAAGTGCTTAGAGAGCGACAGGGAAAGGTGCAAAGTGAGTGAAAAGTACCATAATTAGTACCATCATCTTGTCAGAGGAACTTGGAGGCCGGCAGCCCACTCAGGGTTTGAGAAGAAGCCAGAACACTGCTCTGAGCAGCTGCCCCGATTCGGCTGCCTCCCTCCCTCCCCTGCTCTCAGACTGGAGGGCGTTTCTCCACTCGCCTGGCCCCAGCACAAAGAAAGAGATCGGGTTCCCTGCCTGGGAGCCCAGACATGGGTGGGAGTGGGATGGGGGTGGGGCAGGAGGGCCCACAGCTTCCTGGTCTGAGTCCCAGGCGTCTGCAGCCTCCCTCTCCTCCTCTTGGGAGCAGTGGGCAGCTGATCCCCCAGTCTCCCCCACCTTCCTGGGGTCTGGCCCAGCCAGGCCCCCCACCCTCTATGGGTGTCCGGGCCACCGGAGGAGCTTCCCTGCTGCGTGGGAGCACGCTGGGTGCTGGGGCAGGATTGTTCCAGGGCACTATTTCAGAGGCAACATGGGGACACAGAAACAGGGACAGGGTGGGCCACAAGGACTGTCTTGCCCACTGCTCCAGGGGACACAATTTCAACCAGGAGCAGTGCTCCTTGCAACACAACGCTGGGGCGCCCGAGAACAGTGTGAACCAGCCCCCTGGAACCAAGACAGAAAGGCACCCGGCCTCTCCACAAACTGGCCCAGCCCCTGCAGCCTGGACCCTGACACCCCAAAGCAAGTCACAGTAGGGGATGGGGGTGGAGCCAGGCCCCGCACTCCCACTCAGGCCTCCCCATTCTCTCAGATCCGACCCTTTTCTGAGCTTCACCTATAAGGCTTATTCCACTTATAACATTGTCGACTTTCAGACCAGGCCCTGCTAAGCCCTGGCCCTGGCGCTTGTGTCGGGAGCCATCATCATATTTTGCTGAGTAAGGACCAGGGAAAGGGGAATTAACTTTGCCACTGAAAGCACCAATAAGTTAATATAAATAGGATATCATAATAAATAGAAATCATTCCGGGTCAGACGCACAGCACGCTTGAAGCTCAGGGTTCCCTGAGACCCTGACCTCAAGTTCTGCTGTCCCTTTGCCCTGGGGACCAGAGAAGGCCTCCGGTCCCCCTCAAGTACCTCTGTGTGACCTCACAAGGCCTCCCAGGGCCTCAGATGTGAGCTGCTACTCTGAGCTACTCTAGCCCGTCCTTACAGACTCTTACCCAGAGGAAGACCCTGGGTCCTTCAGAACCTCTGCACCTGACTTAGCAACCTGCCCCTGCCCTACCCACCTCCACAAACCCCTGCTGCTGGTTCAGCCACCAGACCCTGGCCATCCCAGGCTGTAAGGAAGATCACGAGGAAGAGAAGGAAGAACCCACCAAAACTTTCGGGGCCTTTCCTCCTCCTAGCGTCTTACTTCCCAGGCCTGAAGGTGGCTTCTTTGCCTCCCCAAGAGCCTGAATGCCAAGTGACCTCCTTCTGGAAACTTCTGCCTGACTGTTCCTATGCCCAAGTTCTCTGATCATCCTCAAAAGAAGACAGCCTCCCATCCCAGAGGCCCCTCTCTATCTTCCACTCATCAAACTTCTAGGGGACAAGGAGTCCTTTGGGACCCTAGCCCCTCTGGCTCACCTGAGTCCCAACCTAAGGGGCAGCAAAGGCACAGATGGTGATCATTTGTCAGGGGCTGGTCCACTCCCCGGGGCCCTGCTGTCTCGCTGTGGTCAGGGCTATTGTAGATGACTGTGTAGTTTGCCCACTGCACAAAGTGAGCAAGAAGCCAAAGGGACAAGTGGAGGCAGAAGTCCAGCCCACGCTCCCCAGTCCACAATCTCCCAGAGGAAGGGGCACCTTCTTCTAGCTCCCTCCCTATGGAAGTTTCCACTCTGCTCAACTTCATCACAGCCCAGCCCAGAGGGGAGTGGACTGGCCAGGCACCCTCGGGGTCTGCCAGCAGCCCCCATTTGGGTTTAGCCATGCCCTGGGCCCCAGCCACTCTAGGACAGGCCTCCACATCTGGACCTCACTCCTGAGATCCTTTGGTTCACAGCACGCTTCAAGACCTCTTGCTAGAAGGCCTGGGCCAACACGGCGATGGTCTCCTTATACTTCCCCAGGAGTTGACAGCCCAGCTTCTTCTTCTGGAAGACGTCCTTACCCGAGGTGTCAGGGCCATAGGTCACGTCCACATGGCCCACGTGGTACTTGCTGCACAGGCGGCACAACACGTTGCTAAGGAGGCCTCGCAGGATGTCAGCAGTGGCGTTGAGCTTGCTATGGAGGCTGAGGGCACTGGGGTTGAGGATCTTCTGGTCCCGGGTGATGTTGCCCAGGGAGGTGCCGAGGTACACGACTATGCGGTACAGCTCCACCAGCTTGGCCTTCTCCGTGCCGTTGGCGTGGAAGGGCGGGAAGTCCGTCACGTTGGGGCCGCACAGCTTGTCCAGGTTGTTGGGGAACGGCTCCCCCTGGGCTGTGTACTGAGGGGCAGAGGGCAGGTGACGTGGGAGTCAGGGGTCTGTGTCCCAGCCCTGCCGCCAACCCTTTGGGCAAGCTCTTGTGTCTCAGTTTCCCCATCTAGCGCATGAGAACCCAACTCCTTGCCCTGTAAGCATCTAGAATTGTCATGAGAGCCAAAAGTAATTGTAGTGTGAGTGTCCTTGCTAAAGATCAAAGCCTAAGCCATGCACGCAGTCATCATCATCATCATCACCACCCTAAGGGGACAGAAGGGAAAACTCAGTGTCTAGCCCCAGCTGGGGCACCACACACAAGTACTTCCATCCCTGCACTCACGATGTTCCAGGGCGCCCCTCCACGCCCAGCACCCACAGCCCACTGCTTCTCAACCGCATCTCCCTGGTGCCTCACACGCATTTCCCCTCCATCCCTCCCTCCCTGCAGCAGGACAATCACAAGACAAGAAGTGCCAGGCCCCCACCTTTGCACCCAGCTCTCCCCTTGCTCACTGGGCACCCTGAGGAAGCTTCTCTGGGAAGCGTGGGCAGGAAGTGGCAGGAGTCTGCGGGTGGTTTAATCAAGCCATTCTCTCCTTCCAGCCCCAAAAGGTCCCCTCAACCCAGGTCAGGACACTCCCTAATGATATTTACAAGCCCCCTCCCTGCCATCTCCTGTCAGTATCTCAGGGGTAACTTACATAGAGAATAAAGAGGGCATTGGCACTGCCATTGAGCTGTGCCAGTTGGCTCCTGATCTGGTTCATGAGGTTGTTGTGACATGGGTGGCGTATGGCACAGGTGGCGTTGACAGGGGTGATGGGGAGGGGGCTCCCTGCCCCATGTCTCCAGTGCAGAACCAGCAGCAGGGGCACAACTCCTGGGGACAGGCAGGAAGAAGCCATGAATAGAAAGGCAGGGAAGGGTGGCCTGGGGTCATGGCACACCGGATGGGGGTCCGGCAAGGGTCGCATGGGAGAGGACCCCTGGTTCCTCCTCACCACCTGCAGCTATCTTCCTGGGGCCTAGTCTTCACTCTGTCACTGCGTGTGTTTCTCTGCTGCCCTCTCTCTACCTTAACTCTCCCTGCTCCCTGGGATGACGGAAAGACGAGGGCAAGATGCAAGCCATTTCCACCAGAAGGGTGCAGGGTCCAAGAGGGACTCCCAGCCATCCCACCCTTTCCTTCAGGAAGGCAAAGGCCCTAAGGCCCCCTGGCCCTCTGGCAGGAAGGCACCAGGCCCCAGGCCCAGCAGGCGCCAGAAAGGAGATCCCTGCTTCCCACCTCCCAGGGTGGCCCAGGTTCCTCAGCAGCGCTTCCCACTCACTGGTCCATTGCAGCCCAAATCTCCCAAGCCAGGCACCCATGGGGACCACGGGGCATGGGGGAGTGGGGAGGAGTCCTCGGCTGATCCTCGTCTCCCTCCCAAACCTGCCACTTGATTCTGGCTCCCTGGCCAATTGCCCCCCATTCTGCCCCCGTCCCCATCATCTTCTATCTCTTCCTTCCCTAGTGTCCCCCATCTCACTCAAGTTCACCCCATTTCTGCCTGGCTGTCCCCACTCTCCATCCCCAAATCATCATTCAAAACTCTTTGTTCCCCCAGCTCTGGACAGCCCCTGACTCCATGCCTTCTCCCGATTCATCTGCTGTCCCTTGTCCCAGGGGTTCCCCTCCCCCCTAACACACACACCGGCTCAGGGAGGGAAAGGAAATGGTGCACCAGGAGAGAGAAAAGGCAAAAGGTCATAGGCAGTCGGGTGGGCGGGGAGGAAGGAAAGTGAAAGGTGACAGGAGAGCTGGGAGCTGTCCCGACACGTCCTGGCTTGCCCCTCCCCCAGGGGGGCCTGTTCTCCCCACTCCCCCAAGCCCCCTTAGACGCCTTTCCAGGGCTCCGCAGAAGGGCATCTGAAGGTGGTGGGGGCCGGGGTCAGCGGGTGAGTGAAGCTGGAGACCTCCCCCGGATCCCCCATGCTGGGACAGCGGGGACGAGGGCAGCCTCAAGTTCACTTCTCCTGGGTCCCCTGTTCGTCCCAGCATCCCCAGGCAGTGCTGAGGCCCCGGGGTGGCTGCGGGAGGGGGGCCACACCCCTATATCTCACCTAGCGCAGACCACACGCTTCCAGACACCAGCAGATGGAGGCGGCACCTGCTCCCGTCCCAGGCCGGAGTTTGCAAGCTGCTCGCCGCCCGCGCCCCTCCCTGGGAGCAGCCCGGGACCGCGGTTGGAAAGGAGAAAGCGGAAAGAAAGAAAGAAAAGAAAAAGAGAGAGGGAGAGTGAATCTGCGAAAAAGCGCAGAGGGAAGAGCAGCCAGCGAGAGTGTTGGGAGCGAGGAGGAGGAGGAGGAGGAGAAGGCGAGGGGGAGGAAGAGGAGGAGGAAGGCTCGGCGCCCCCTCCCTCGCCGCCAACCTGCCGCGGGGCGTGCGGTGCTTGGGACCATGTGCCCGCGCTCGCTCCGGGCCGCCACCCCGCGCCTCCGGTGGCTGCGCGGGCGCCCCAAGCGTCCGTGTGTCTGCGGCGGGTGGGCGTCCGGTTCGCGCTACCAAGCGCCCCAAGTTGCCGCCGCGCCCCGCAGCGGGGACGCGAAGCCGGCGCGGGGCGGGTGTATTTACCTGCCGCCAAGACCTTCATTATGGGCTGCACTTCAGAGGGCCTTGGAGGAAACCTCAGATGCCGGCAGTTTTCAGAGGTTCATGCTCAAATGGGGAATTTGCCTGATTTATATACTGGAGCCTGTGTTGTAAGACAGAAACAGCTATATTTAGCCGGGATCCCCAGTCCAGGAAGTTGTTTGAGGTGCATCATAGGAAATTATGAATGGAAGAAAGTGAGAGTGAAGGGGGGGGGACAAGTGAGGGGGGAGGGTGGGGAGAACAGACTTTTTCCCTCTTCTAAGAATTTGATTGATAAAATTATAATGAAGCCTTCGACAAAACGCCCTGCGGTTTTCCTGCCTGGCTTGTCCCAGGAGTTGTCTGAAGATGGGCATCGCCAGGAGGGGGCCCCTGGCCGAGTCAGCAGGGGTCCCAGCAGTGGGCGCCCCAGACGGTCCTGACTCACCTGCGTTTGGGGAGGTAGCGAGTCTGGACTAGCAGATGGAGACTGGCCTCTGTGCCCCCTGGTTGGGGGGCTTTAGGGGGGCAGTGGGAGGAGGAGGGCTGGGGCTTGGCTGAGAAGGAGGCTCCAGGAGGAGGGGCCGGAGCCGGCGTGGACTTTAGACGGTCATAAAGTGGAACTGAACATGGGCGCTAGAAGCCACCCCAGAGGTAGCCTCCTCCAATCTGCCCATTGCCACTGGGCTCCAAGGGGCTCCGAGGGGAACGTGTTGCCCGGGGCCCCAGAGGGTCAGGCCTCCAGACACCACCAGTGCACTCGCCCTGCTGACCACTGTACCTGTGAGGCTGGGGAAGGGGCTAGGAAGACATGGGGGTAGGGGTGGCTGTGACTCAGTTCTGTCGGGAAACTCTGGGAAGGTGCTTCTGGGAAGGTGGTCCAGCATTTCCATTCTGAAGTGGGACCGAGAGAGGCTTGGCAAAATCGTACCCCAGTTTCCTCCTCAGGGTGCTGACTGATGGCTGGGGAAACAGAAGTGGCTAGTCCCTTCCAGACCTGCCTTGGAAGCCCCTTGGAGCTCAGCCTCAGAGAATGATGGAGGTCCCCAAAAAGTGCTTCTAGAGGCTCTTCTGAGGCCAGGCGATTCGTGAATGAGGAAGGGCAGGAAGGAGTAGTGGGGAGCAGGGCAAAATGAGCACAGGGACACCTCCAAGAAAGGCAACAGAAAAGTGAAAATAAATACACCCTATGAGACGCGGGAGCGCTGGCCAGACAGCATGCCATACATCTGGGGTCATGCCATCTCTAAAGCTGCCAGGGGACCCCCCCAGTACCAGGAGAGGATTTAGTCCCCTGGGGCCCCTTCCCAGCCCTTCCGCCTGACCCTGACCTGAGATCAAGGTGTGCAAGTTGGTTTTCCAAGGCCAGGGAGCTCCTGCAGCCTTGCCCGGGTCCCCACCGCCCCCTCGCCCATCCTCCATGCCCCCAGCTCCTGCCTCTTGCCACATCCCGGACCTGCCCAGCCACGCGTTCCTCCTTCATCGTGCCAGGACGAGCCCTGGTGCCTGCTGCCATTCCCCACCACACACACACCCTGCTTTATCTAGGCTCTTGCCCCCCCATTCTCTCCCAGCAGGGCCTCAGATGTGAGGTGATAAAACTGCCTATCCCAGCTGGCACTTCCCGAACTGGCTCTCCTTCCTCCTTCCTGACTCCCACCCCACACCTTGTCTCTTCTTTAAGGGACCATGGAGGGCCCCACTTGGCACTTACTGCTCCTATACACTTGCTCTGGGGTCAGCGTACACTACTAGGAGACCCACCTGCCCTGGCCTGGCTCAGGCAATCCCACGTCCCAGGACACCCCAACTCAACCCTTCTTCTTACCCCTCCCCCAGCATCTCTTGCACAAGGACCTGACCACTCAGAGCACGTGAACTCTGGACCAGTCCCCAGTCCCATCCCACATCACCTAGACCCCTGTCACCTAACTCAGCCTGGCTTTCCTGACCTGGACCCCAAATCCACGTGACCAGGGGCTCACTGTGGCCTCCACCTATCAAACGCCCGTCGCCAGGCCTGAGTCTCTCGTTAGGCTCAAGAGTTCTCTTGCAGCCACCCCTACATCCACCACCATGCTGCCCAGTGTCTCCCCTGCATCCTTCCAAGCGGACCCCCAGGTCTTGCATGCCTTCTGGCAAGCCAGACCCCACATCAGCCCTATAATCCACCCCTGATCGCTGTTTAATCTCAGCCCCACCCCACAGGAAACAGGAAGTGAGGACAGGGTCTAGAAGACACTGACACTAGGGCCACTTAACCCCAGCCCTGACTGAGGCCCCTCCAGTGCCTCAGTTTCCCCTCCTCTCACGGTACCTGACTTGGTTTGTGCTCCCCAAGTGCTCTGGGCCCCTCGGTGCCCCAGGCCCAGCCTCCCCCTCCTGTCCATGTCCAGGCACCACCTGCTCTGGGCCTCTGGAGGGAAGGCCGGGCAGGGTCTCGGAGCCGCAAGTCCGTGTGCCGCCTGCAACGTGGCTGCGGCCCCCAGGAATCAGCCGCCCAGGCTACGCTCCAGGCCCACTTTGGTCTCTGGGAGTTTGTTTTCTTCCCTCCCTCTCTATGCTGTGTGTGTGTTCCCCGCCCCCAGCCAGCTCCCTCATGGAAGGCACCCTCCCTTCTTGGCTGCCGGCTCCCAGGGTCACGACCCCAGGCCCCACCCTGGAGTGGCAGCCCCAGCCTGGCCCCTTCCAGCTGTGACTTCATCCACAGCCTGTCCTGCTCCTGCAGATGGGGCTTGCTGGGGATATGACCGGTCTCAGGGTGAGCGGGACAGTCCCAGCCGCATGGGATCCCCTGACATTGAGCAGGAGTTACCAGGCCAGAACCCAGGAGTGCTGTCTCCAGGTGGCTGTGCCATCCAACTCATCACAGCTCTCCAGGAAGTGAGTGCACCCTCTAGCACGTTCAGCTACCCAGCTGCTTGTTTTCTGCTGATTTTTACCTGCCATCCACAAGTCTCTCCTGGAATGTCACAGCTGCTTATTTTTCAGATGGGGAAACCGAGGCTCAGAGAGGTGAAGATACTATGTGTGGCTCACACAAAGAATTAATAACAGAGCCAGGTCTGGAACCCGGGCTTCTGTCTTGCAGGCCACAGCAATCCCTGCAGCACCTCTTGCTCCCAGAGAGTGAAGGGCATGGCAGGTGTGCTCGGGCCACCTTCCTCCAGGAAGCCTCCCCTGCCTCCCACAGCCCCGACCAGCTTACATCAGCCTTGTCCTACCCACTCTTGTTTCAAGTGGGGGCGAGTCTTATTCCTCAACCCTTGAGAGCTCAATGGGGTCTGAGACTCCCTTGTACTCCTGACAGCACCTGGCTCAGGGTTATACCTTGACATTAATAGAGGTTAAGTATTTTTTGAGAAAGCATTTTACAGTTTCCAAAAACCGTCAGTGCCAAGTCTCTTGTGGAAAGGAGACAAAGAGGTCTGAGGGTTTGAAGAATGGACTCTGGCCTCATTCAGAACCAGGTTGGAGGTTTGGCTCTGCCAGTTATGAGCTGAGTGACTCTGGGGAAGGGACTGCCACCTCCTGGCCTCAGTTTCTTCAGCTATAAAATGGGAATAATGGTACCGCCATTGTGGGTTTGCTCTGAGGGCTCAGGGCTCAGCATGGTTCTGGGCACCCAGCAAGCTGCCTCTCTGCATATCACCACCCACTGTGCTGACCTCCCTGTGAAGCAAGGGGTCTTGTCCCCATTTGACAGATGGGGAATCTTGGGTCCATGCCAGGGTGCTGAGTGGGGAAGGCTGGGCAGGAGCAAGACCTCTCAAGCCTCTGCTGATGGTAAATCGAGGCAAGATACCCACGTAGCCTCCAGCTTCCAGGGTGCCCCAGAAAGATCAGACAGGTTGTGGAAGGGGGCTGGCAGGGCAGTGTGCTCAGTCCCCCAGAGCCCCCCTCCTGGCCCCTCACCACCCCCACCCCAAGCCTGATCTGAGGACAGCAGCTGACCTGGCCTTACCGCCCCCAGAAGCTGATTCACCCCCAGGCCCCAACTGAGAAGGAAGGAGACAAACTCAGCTCTGAGGGGCTTGAATCACCAGCCGCCCCCTGCAAAGTCCCAGGGTGGGGGGGTGCGGGGGTGGGGGTCAGCCCCCTGCCTGTCTGTCTCTTTCCTGGACCCCGGGGCTCTAGGAGAGAGGGCAGCATGGCAGTGGCATGGGCAGGGGTGGGACGGGAGGTCCCCTCACAGTCAGGCATTCTGTGTGGGCAGCCAGCAGCGGTTACTCACCAGGTAAGCAGCTCTCCGGGCACTGGGGAATTCCCCAAGACCGGTGACCCAGAAACAGCGCTCCGGGCACCCCCGGCTGCCCAGTCTGTCCTCCCTCCTTCCTTCCCCAACTCCTCTGGCCCTGGTACCTGGAAAATGAACAGAGTCCTCAGGTGGGCCTAGGAAGGAAGCCAGGGTCCAGAGGGTGGGTCCCAGGCCCAGGGCTGGTGAGGGGTGGCCAGAGGAGATGGGGAAACTCAGGAATGCCTGGCACAGCCCAGCCAATTGGGCATCCTGGCCAAAAAGGCAAGAGCACCACACTCTTCAATGCTTGAGGAGTGACAGTGTAATGCCACCAGCGGACCGTGCCTCTACTGTTCTCACCCCAGTGGTGTGGGTTCAAATCCCTCCTGCCCCAACCACCAGCTATGTGGCCCGGGGCAACGCGCTTCCTCTCTCACAGCCTCAGTTTTCCCTCTGCAAATGAGGATGCTCTTGTAACAGCCTTGTGGGGCCATCACCGGGATGTTTCCTGGGAAATGTGGACAAACGCCTAACGTGTGGCAGCCATTCTAATAAGATCTGGCTATGGCCGAAGAAGGAGCTCAAACCCCAGACCGAGTCAGGGGCTTGGGTTAGGGCTGGGTCCTGTGGTCAGCGCAGTGGGGTCTGAGAGTCAGAGCAGGAGGTGGCTCCTGGGTCCTCTCAGTTAATGGAGTCTGTTGTGGGTTTTAGGAGAGTGGGTAGCATCTCAGGGCCTCGGTGGGGGAGATAAGCAGTACTCCCCCCATCTTTGGGCCCTGGAGAGCCCAGCTGTCTTCTGGGGGCTCTTGAGGTCCAGATGCTGGGCCTATCGCCTGCCCCTTCTCACCCTTACCGGATCCAGTCTCTGGCAGCGACCAGCAGTATCCCCTCAGGGCCAACGAGAAGCCAGAAGCCACCCTGGCCTTCTGCCAACTGCT